ACGACTACTACTACTACTGCTCCTACCACCACCGCCACCACCACCACCACCACCACCACCACCACTCCCGCCGCTGCCGCCGAGACGACGACGACGACCGCTGCTGCTGCTACTACCTACTACCTCCTACCTCTACCTCTGCTACTACTACGTACTACTACTACTACTACGACGACGACGACGACGACTAGTACACTACTTGTGCGAGTGCTAGTGCTAGAGAACTAGTACCAGTACTAGTGCTAGTACAGTCAGCACTAGTGCTAGCACTAATACTGGCACTTGTAGTACTACTAGAACTGCTAGTGCTACTTCGATTATCGCCTTTACTGGTGTCATCGTTTTGCTTCATTCAAACTCACAGGATGGAGAGTCAGAGTGTTCAGGGTGCTTATAGCCAGGCTGCGAGTGGCTGCTTGTAGCCGTACCCGTTCCTGCCCGTTCCTTAATTACGGTTGATGATATAAATCCTGCTTTGCCCATAATAAGGAATAAACCATAATTCCCGTTGTTCAGGGTCCTTAAGGTACTGCAGGGTTTATATCATCAACAGTATCCCTAAATCTGCGCTCTACTTCGGAAGCCGGGCTCAGGTTCCCCCGATGCTCTTCCCCATGTACACCGTCGCCGCAGATGTGCTGCTGAAGATGACGAAGGTCGAACCACATGAGAAGTTGAAGGCCAGAGACAATTTCGGAATTGGGGGTTGAGGGATCTTTGGAGCATGTCAGTGTGTGTGTGTGACTTGGTTGCGGGGAATGCCGGTGGCGCGCAACTTGCAGAAGATTTGGGCTCGCTTAAGGACTTCTGTCCCAAGGCTTCCTCTCCCCACTTCAGTTTTTAAACTGGACAGTCAGAACTGTTCGGGTTTAGGGTTCAGAGTTGAGGGCTGCTGCTAGTAGGACGACGACTATGACTAATGCTTCTGCGACGACGACGACTACGACTTCGACGACAAGGACGAGGACGACGCGGACGACAAGGATGACGTGGACGAGGACGATGACGACGACCACTACCAGCCCCCATGCCCACGACTAATACCGCTACGCACGACCTACCACTACTACTACGACGACGACTACTACTACTTCTGCTGCTGCTGCTAGTACTACTACTACTACTACTACTACTACTACTACCACTTCCAATAGCACTACCACTGCCACTGCCACTACCGCTACCACTACCACTACCGCTACCACTACCATTGCCACTACGACTAGTAGCAGCACTGCCTTCACCAACACCACCACCACCGCCACCAGCAACATTGACACTGTTAGCAACATTGACACTGTTAGCAACATAGACACCGTTAACAACACCAGCAACATCAACCACATTAGCAACAAAAGCACTAACAACATTAACATCATTGACAACGTTCACAACATTACCAATATTTATCAGCACCCTTCACTACACTAACAACATTACCAGCATCCACCGCTACAACAACAACAGCAGCAACAACAGCAACAACAACCACCACGACAACAACAACAACATCAACATCAACAACAACAACAAGAAGAACAACAACAACACCAAGAACAACAACGACAACAACACCAGCAACAGCAACAGCAACAACAACAACAACATCAACAACAACAACAACATTAACACCACCACCACCACCGCCACCACCACCACCACCACCACAACAACAACAACAACAGTAACAACAACAGTAACAACAACATTAACAACAACATTAACAACAACAACAACATTAACGTTAACAACAACGCCAGCAACAACAACAACAACAACCACAACAACATCAGCAAAAGCACCACCAACAGCAACGGCAACAGCAACAGCAACAGCAACAGCAGCAACACCCACACCACGACAACACCCCCACCACCAACAACAGCAGCAGCAACAGCAACAACAGCAACAACAGCAACAGCTGCAACTGCAGTAACTACAGCAACAAACAACAAAGAACACATAGCAACGAACAGACGACACACACAACAAACACTACACCAGCAAGCAACAAACAAACAAAGAAGCAAACAAGCAAACTAGCAACCAGGTAAAAACACAAGCACACAGACAAACAAACAAGCAAATAAGCAAGCAAGCAAGCAAGCAAGCAAGCAAGCAAGCAAGCAAGCAAGCAAGCAATCAAACAAGCAAGCAAGCAAACAAAACAAACAAAACAACAATCACGCACAAACCAACCAACAACCAATCAAGCAAACAAACGAAAAAAAGCAAACATCAACCAACCAACCAAACAAACAAACAAACAAACAACTAGACAAGCAACTAAACAAACACACAAACAGACAAACAAACAAACACACACACACA